TGTTACAGATTATGGACAGCTCGGTGTTAACCCTATTACTCCATCCATAGAAAACTATCCAGATACAGTATCATCATATCTTACCATGAAGGTGTAGAATCACAGTACATAGAGTAGTAAAGGGTTTGAAACTATCAGCAATATAAACTTTCCAGGGTTTCTAACCCCCTTTCACTGTGTTACATATGAGGGGTGATTTACTAAAGGTAAATATACTGTGCACTGTGAGTGCAGTTGCTTTATATCTGAGGGGAAGCTCTAAAATGAGGCGAAGGTCTGCTGATTTATTTCATTCAATCATGTGCAAGCAAAAATGCTGTTTTTTTTTTTCTTTTCCTTGCATTTTCCCCTCAGTTTTAGAGCAACTGCACTTTCAAGTGCACAGCCTATTTGCCTTTAGTAAATCAACCCTATAGTGTTCATGTTATGTGATGATAGCAGACTTGCTTCCATTATCCTTATGGGGATTTCATATAGACAGTAAGGGGTTTACCGTATTTTTCGCCGTATAAGACGCACTTTTTATTCCCCAAAACTGGGGGGGAAATGTCAGTGCGTCTTATAAGGCGAATATGGAGCGGCCGGTCCGGTCCGGTATTTCCACCGCGGCCGTGTCAGGATACCGGGCCGGCCGCTCAGCTCTGCAGTGGGACCTTACCTGTTCCTCTATCCAGCGGCGTGCTGTCTTCCCGGCTTCTGTAGTGTGGGCGCTGGGCATGACAGCCGGGTGCCAAGTGCGCATGCGCGAGAAGCGGTGCGCTTTGTGAATGGTAAGGCGGTACCTGGGACACATGACAGATCCCAGAAGCCGCCGGACCAATCACAAGGCGCAAGTGCTTCCCGCTCATGCGCACTGGGCACCCGGCTGTCATACCGAGCGCCATTACAGAAGCCGGGTAGACAGCGCGCGGCTGGATCGAGGAACAGGTAAGATCAAAGAACAACTCTGCGGAAGTAAGAGCGGGTACCTGTCAAATTCAGGTACCCGCTCCCCCCCTCCCCAAAGGTCAGCAGTCATCTGTACTGTCCGCAGTCTCTGGTCATCCCTGTGCTGTCCGCAGTCTCTGGTCATCTCCTGTACTGTGTCCGCAGTCTCTGGTCATCTCCTGTACAGTGTCCGCAGTCTCTGGTCATCTCCTGTACAGTGTCTGCAGTCTCTGGTCATCTCCTGTACAGTGTCTGCAGTCTCTGGTCATCTCCTGTACTGTGTCCACAGTCTCTGGTCATCCCTGTGCTGTCCGCAGTCTCTGGTCATCCCTGTGCTGTCCGCAGTCTCTGGTCATCTCCTGTACTATGTCCGCAGTCTCTGGTCATCTCCTGTACTATGTCCACAGTCTCTGGTCATCTCCTGTACAGTGTCCGCAGTCTCTGGTCATCTCCTGTACAGTGTCTGCAGTCTCTGGTCATCTCCTGTACTGTGACCGCAGTCTCTGGTCATCCCTGTACTATGTCCACAGTCTCTGGTCATCCCTGTACTGTGTCTGCAGTCTCTGGTCATCTCCTGTACTGTGTCCACAGTCTCTGGTCATCTCCTGTACTGTGTCCACAGTCTCTGGTCATCCCTGTGCTGTCCGCAGTCTCTGGTCATCCCTGTGCTGTCCGCAGTCTCTGGTCATCCCTGTGCTGTCCGCAGTCTCTGGTCATCTCCTGTACTGTGTCTGCAGTCTCTGGTCATCTCCTGTACTGTGTCTGCAGTCTCTGGTCATCTCCTGTACTGTGTACGCAGTCTCTGGTCATCTCCTGTACTGTGTCCGCAGTCTCTGGTCATCTCCTGTACTGTGTCTGCAGTCTCTGGTCATCTCCTGTACTGTGTCCACAGTCTCTGGTCATCCCTGTGCTGTCCGCAGTCTCTGGTCATCCCTGTGCTGTCCGCAGTCTCTGGTCATCTCCTGTACTGTGTCTGCAGTCCATTTGTTCAGAATTTCTTTTTTGCCTGTTTTCTGCCTCTAAAACCTAGGTGCGTCTTATGGTCAGGTGCGTCTTATACGGCAAAAAATACGGTATTTACTAAAGTTCGAGAGTGCAATATCAGGCTCACTTCTTCATAGAAACCAATCAGCTTCCAGGTTTTATTGTCAAAGCTTATTTGAAAAAGCTGATGTTAGAAGCTGATTGGTTTCTATTCTGAAGTGAGTCTGATTTTGGACTCTCCAGCTTTAGTAAATAAACCCCTATGGGTCCAAACAGCAGTTTAAATGTAATCTGCCTGCAACAGCTTTTTTGCATTTCCAGTATTTAATCCATATAGACAGCATTTCCAGCATCCAAACAACTTCGAGTTGAACTTCAGAAAACATGAACTTTTTTTTAACTTTCAAGGCCTCCAGCATAGGCTGTTTTCTTTCTCCAGATTTGTTTTTCAAGTATCAGCTGTTTACTGTCTGTAATACTATTTCATTTGCAGTAACAATTAGGAGACACTTTCATGTGTCTTCCCCACTTCTCCCAGGGATGTTACTTTGGTGAAAATGACAGTAATTTAAAGAAAGAATGAATCCTCACACCATAGGTGACTACATCACACCTGTGGGATGTCATGTCTTAAATCCAAACCACTCTTTGGAACATAGAAATATTTGTGGTTCCTTAAATGAACTTTACAAATACTCAGGAAAGGAAAGCCTTTGAATCATAAATGATAATTCTATTTAACCACTTGCCTTCCCCCTTTAGCAGACATACTGCTACAGGGCGGCACGGCTGCACAAAAGCACACATATATACGTGATTTGCATTTTGGGTAGGGGACGCATGCGCCATCCTATTCGCGCCGCCATTGGCAGCTGGGGATGTCAATCACCGGGTCCTGGCCAGCGATTCCTGGCTGGCACTTGGAGATCATCGGCAAAGCTTATAGGGGATGGACCTGTGCAGAGAGATACAAAGCAGCATGTCTTCTAAACAAAACAGCACACAGTTAACCCTTTGATTGCCCCAGATGTTAACCCCATCCTGCCCAGTGTCATTAGTACAGTGTCAGTGCTTTTTATTAGCACTGATCACTGTATTAGTGTCACTGGGAATGTCAGTGAGAGTTAATCAGTTCCCACACAGTGTCAGAATGCCCGCCGCAGTCCCGCTATAAGTCACTGATCACCGCCATTACTAATTCCAGTATATATAACGCCATTTGTAGATGTTATAACTTTCACGTAAACCAATAAATATACAATTATTGGGATTTATTTTAGCAAAGACGTGTAGCAGAATACATCTTGGCTTAAATTTATAAAGAAATTGTATTTTTAAATTTTTTTAATATATACGTTTTATAGCAAAACGTCAAATATTGTTTTTTTTTTTTTTATAGCGCACAAAATAAAAAACACAGAGGTGATCAAATACCACCAAAAGAAAGCTCTAGTTGTGGGAAAAAGAATTACATATATTTCATTTATGTACAGCGTTGCATGACCACGCGATTGTCAGTTAAAGTAATGCAACGCCGTATTGCACAAAAATGGCCTGGTCAGGAGGGGGGGGGGGGGGGGAAATCTTCTGGAGGGCAAGTGGTTAAGAGAAAATAGACTGAATGTGAACCTCAGCTTTCCAAATCACTTTCAAATAGTTTTATGACCATTCTAACCTCTGTGAGTCTTCCCCTTTCCCTCTCTATTGCCCACATCAATATCCCTTATCTGACTAACATTCTCAGTTTTATTACCCTTTGCTTCTGTTTTTTTTTTTCTCCAAAGAATATATTTGCAGGTTGTTCTTAACATTTTTCTAAACCTTTTGTATATCAGTACTGCATGGGCCCGGAAGAAGGGAGTATATCCCCTAAGCTTGTCGTAAACATTTAACAAAAACATTCTTTCATAGCTAAACAGTCAATGTCATGAGTTTTAGCACATGTAAGGGAGCAATTTGGGAGGAATGAAGACCCCCCCTCTACCAGCACCCCATTACATCTCTCACAATCAGGGGCGAACTGACCATTTGGAAACTCAGGCACTGCCTGAGGGCCTGGGGTCAGTAGGGGGCCTCATGAGATGCCCCTGGTACCTTTTTTATAGGCTTTTTTAAGTTTGGGCAAGAACACAGGGGCCCCATGATCCCCTATTGCCCGGGGGGCCCCATGAGTTGTCAGTCCGCCTCTGCTCACAATTACTATCTCAAAATAGGCCATCGCTTTTTATAAAATGGCACCCCCTTTTTTACTACTGGTCTCTTCTCCTCTGCATCCGTGATCTTTTGCATTCATGGAAGGTTAGGAGGAAAATTGTAAATGAACCTGGAGTGCTCAGTCCTTTACACTTATGCGTTCAAATTTAATGTTCTGGTGTCAAAGGTTGGATGGATGTTCCATAAATATCCATTTCACTTTTTCTAGTTCTTCCTTATCTCCTGTTATAAGTGGCAAAACACTTGTTCTTCCTTATAGGGCTAAGTAGTTCAAGGTGAAATTTGGTTTCAGAACAGTAATTCATTCTCTTCCCACCCTCCTTTGGCATTGGGGGCTTTGGTATAAGCCAGTAAGCCTAAAAAAATGTGACCACTGTGCTAACAAATAAAGCACTGGGAATCACCTGATGTGTAATAAATGCTTGTTTGTAAAAGGAAGAAAAACTTGGCCAGAAACCATTAGGGCTCATTTATGCATTGCCTTCTGAAGAGTGATCCCCTAAGGTCCGTACCACTGTTGTTCTTCCTGCATAATGTGAAGAGGTGGATTTTGTCATGCTACAATGCAAAGCATAGTGGCCACGTCATGTGTACACCTCATCTGCTGCCTTTGCAGCTAAGGGGGAGTGGTAAAAACATGGCTTAACCACACCTGTATTCATCTCCCCCAAAAGGAAACCATAAACTTAGCCTTTTAGTTCATTTCAAGCAGCTCCGTCCAGTGGCTGATCTACAAATCATGAATTATGAGTAAGTGTAAGTAACCATTGACTATGCTATACTATGAGGACCACAAATGTAGACAATACACCTATTATGTCTTCACAATGATAATTAGACATTTTTACAAAATATATATTGCTTACACATCTCACCTCCAGTCATCCTTGGACAGATTATAGAGTATATTCATTTCTTCATCATCTTGCAGTAACCGATATGCTGCACTTACATGATGATTTTCAAGTACAGATCTATCATTATACAAAATGGCAGAATCCGATCTAAAAAAAAATAAATAAAAAAGAGGGACGTTAAAGTGGAACTTCACTCTCTCAATCAACATTGAATATTTTTAATCCATATGCTGCTAGCATCAGTAAATAGATAGGAAAGTATATTGTATTTATTTGCTTTAAACTTTTTCTTTTCAGTTACTTCCCAGTTTCCATGCCCAGACAAATGGGGGTTTATTTACTAAAGCTGGAGAGTCCAAAATCAGACTCCCTTCTGCATAGAAACCAATCAGCTTCTAACCTCAGCTTGTTCAATGAAGCTTTGGCAATGAAACCTGGAAGCTGATTGGTTTCTATTCTATGCAGAAGGGAGTCTGATTTTGCACTCTCCAGCTTTAGAAAATAAACCCCATGATGTCATACATCTCAGGAGTCTTCGGGAGTGCCTTTCCCAGCTAAGGCAGATGGATTGCAGATTCCAGGAAATAAATTTGTCTGCCCTTACTTAAGATGGCCATGACCAGAAATGCTAGAGGGGTCTTTTTCAAACGTGATTTCCCAGCAAAATGAAGCATGGAGACTTGGATGGATGGGGGAGTTTGCTTTGATATTAAAATTGAATTAAATAGTGTTTTTGGTTTGTGCTGCTTAGATGCAATGTAGATAGAAGGGGCATTGATGGTGGTTTACACATCTATGACCAAACACATTCACATGGACTTGCTTTAAATTTCATAGATAACTATTTTAGTGAATATGAAGGTTTCCTTATTTCTTTTTTTGAAAGCAAAGAAATATGTAACTGAAACAAAATTGAAATTTTTCTATGATTTCCCCCTTAAAATGAGTCTTTAACCACCTCCCGCCCGCCATATATAGTAATATGACGGGCACAAGGTGGTTCTCTCGTCCTGGGAGGACGTCATATGATGTCCTCCCATTCTCACTGCGCATGCGTGGCTCAGGGAGCGCGCAGCGCGGCGATCGGCGGTGCACTGTGTCCCTCGGACACAGCGGATCACGGAAAGAGCCGAAGATGTCGGCTCGGTCATGTGATCAGCTGTGTCCAATCACAGCTGATCACATGTAAACAGGGAAATGCCGGTTATTGGCATTTCTCTCCTCTCAAGCTGTCACGCTGGCAGAGGAGAGGAGAGCCGGTAATCAGCTTTCCGCGGAGGGGACATGTACACTGATCATCAGAGCACTGAGATCAGTGTGCCCTGATCAGTGTAGCCCCCTGCCACTGTCAGTCCATCAGTTACATCAGTGCCACATCAGTGCCTACCAGTGCACATAAATGCCACATATCAGTGCCCATCTGAGCTGCCTTTCAGTGTCACCCATCAGTGAGTGCCACATATCAGTGCCGCCTAACGGTGCCAGTCAGTGCCGCCTAACGGTGCCAGTCAGTGTCGCCTAATGGTGTCATGTATCAGTGCCACCTACCAGTGCCTCCTCATCAGTGCCCATCAGTGCAGCCTCATCAGTGCAGCCGATCAGTGCAGCCTCAGCGCACATCAGTGAAGAGAAAAATCACTTATTTACAACATTTTATAACAAAAACTAAGAAACAACATTTTTTTTTCAATATTTTCAGTGGTTTTTGGTTTAAGAAAAAAATAAAGAACCCAGAGGTGATTAAATACCACCAAAATAAAGCTCTGTCACCAAAAAATGATAAAAATTTCATATGGGTACAGTGTTGCATGACTGCGCAATTGTCATTCAAAGTGCGACAGCACTGAAAGCTGGAAATTGGCCTGGACTGGAAGGGGGTATAAGTGCCCTGGTAGGCAGGAAGGGGGTAGAAGAAGGGGTGCTCTGTAGGCAGGAAGGGGGTAGAAGTGTGCCCTGTAGGCAGGAAAGGGGTAGAAGTGCCCTGTAGGCAGGAAGGGGGTAGAAGTGCCCTGTAGGCAGGAAGGGGGTAGAAGTGCCCGGTGGGCAGGAAGGGGGTAGAAGTGCCCTGTAGGCAGGAAGGGGGTAGAAGTGCCCCAGGAAGGGGGTAGGCAGGCAAGGGGGTAGAAGTGCCCGGTGGGCAGGAAGGGGGTAGAAGGCAGGAAGGGGGGGGTAGAAGTGCCCTGTAGGCAGGAAAGGGGTAGAAGTGCCCGGTGGGCAGGAAGGGGGTAGAAGTGCCCTGTAGGCAGGAAGGGGGTAGAAGTGCCCGGTAGGCAGGAAGGGGGGTAGAAGTGCCCTGTAGGCAGGAAGGGGGTAGAAGTGCCCGGTAGGCTAGTGGTTAAACTGGATTTTTTCACTCTGAGGCTATTTTAAAGGGGAAAACTCAGTTTTGTACTGTAGGGCGAAGGAGAAAATGTAATAAAATTCAGATCTGGAGAAACACACAAATGAACAAATAGTTAAGTTATAGTGGTAGTTGATTTACTGGCATTAAAGATAAACTCCCAAACAAAACAATTAAACTTGAATTAAATTGAATACTAGATTCACGTGCGCATAGCAACCGTGATGATTGCATACACTAATGTATGTACAGTGCGGTCCTAGTTTGCCATATGTGTTGAACATCAAAACCGTGTTGTCTTTCTGCATTCTGCTCTATCAAAGGAAAAATCTTCTCCTAGTAGTATATGACATTCTAATCTTTGCATATAAGGCCAAATTTAGAATTAGGCTGTATGTAAAATACTCCTTACCTCACTCCTTCAGTCTCCTCTCACATTACTAACACTGACATATCAGCATGAATGATGCACCGCTCCCTTAAAGTGGAGTTCCACCCAAAAGGGGAAGTTCCACTTTAAAGACTGGTCCCCTGGGGAGCAGGTATCCAAAATTGACAGGTACCCACTCCCTCTTCTGCTAAGCGATCGGAAGTGGAAATTGTCCTCCTACCCTCCCTCCGTCTGCGTAGTCTTCTGGGACACGTGACAGACTATTCACGCATGCGCAGTGGGCACCCGGCTGTGACAGCTTGCGGCTTTACCCACACTGAAGATGCCGGCGCCTGGAACACCAGACGGCTGGTGAAACGGGCTGTGGGGAGGACACCGCGGGATCGTGGGACAGGCGAGTGGCTGTTTTTTTAAAAGTCAGCAGCTACAGTTTTTGTAGCTGCTGACTTTATTTTTTTTTTACAGTGTGAGTGGAACTCCGCTTTAAACTAAGATCCCCCAAGCTCGTGTCCTCCAGCATTACTTTTCCATCAAGACCCATAATGCAAACTATCAGTCCCTCTCCTCATGCCAGGGTACTAGGTGTAATCCTAGATTCTGACCTGTCCTTTCAGCTGCATGTACAATCGCTGTCAAAAGCTAGTAGAAGTCACCTCCGTAACATTTCTAAAATTCACCCCTTTTTAACTAATGAAACCACCAAGCTACTCATTCACTCCCTTGTTATCTCTCGCCTTGACTATTGCAACTCCCTCCTCATTGGCCGACCTCTCTGTAGGCTATCCCCTCTTTAGTCTATCATGAATGCTGCTGCCAGACTCATCTACCTTACCAACTGCCCACTGTCTGCCACCCCCTCTCTGCCAATCCCTCCACTGGCTTCCAATTGCCCAGTGAATTAAATTTAAAATACTAACAGCAACATACAAAGCTAATCACAAATCTCCAAATATCACCCAAACCATCCTCTCCACTGTCCTCAGGACCTCCTGCTCTCAAGCTCCCTTGTCTCCTTCTCCCATGCTCATCTCCAGGACTTCACCAGATCTTCTCCCATCCTCTCAATCTGTCTGGCTTTCCCATACTCTGGCTGCCTTTTTAGGTGATTTCTGAAAACTCATCTCTTCAGGGAAGTCTATCAGGCATCCAGCTAGACACAGCTTATCCCCCACAGTTATAACCCTTTGTACCACCTGCCCCACCCTATTAGATTGTAAACTCTTATAAAGTCTTTTTAATCCTCTTGTTTTTTTATTGTATTGTAACTGTGCTGTATCCCTTTTATATTGTAAAGCTCAGAGCAAACTGTTCACACCATACAAATCCTGTATAATTATTATTATTATACAGTATTTATAAAGCGCCGATAGTTTTCGCTCAGCGCTGTACATTACAAAGGGGGACAGAACATGTGACAGAACAAACTACAATGCAAAACATGAGGGGATCGAGGGCCCTGCTCTTTCCAGCTTACAATCTAGGAGGGAGGGGATGGTGGCACAGGAGGAGATAGCTGTGGGGATGGAGTGGTAGGAAGAGTGGAGGAGGTCGGCAAGTTAGCAGGGGGTGGGTAGCTTCCCTGAAGAGATGGGTTTTCAGGGTGTGCCTTAAGGAGAGGAGAGTAGGTGATAATCTGATGGGTTGGGGCAGGGAGTTCCAGAGGATGGGTGACACTCTGGAGAATTTTTAACAATGAAAACCAGCGCAAACCCACATGATCAATTACATTACTCAGTTTAAAAAAACATTAATGTGCTAATAAAGATATATATAATAAATTATATATAAAATATATTGATATAAAAACATATATAAAAAATTTAAAATTATAAGTCCAGTGACAAAAAAGCAAAGTGACAAAAAATCAAAAAAAACCCCAGAAAATATATATATAAATATAATTACAGTCCCGTGACAAAATTAAATCAAATTAAATTGTAATATATTTTCCATTTGATTCTTCCGTGTTACTGATATCCCTTCACCATCCACCAGTGCAGAAATCAACATTAACCGCACTCACCAGATAATGGGAGTCACACCGCCTTTCAGGATTGTTAAGGCTCCTGGGACCCCCTTTACTTTGTCTGGGACCTCCAAGTGCTCTTTCCTCTTATGTCTAGGTACCTCTTCTGCTTACTCCTCTCACCGAATCCCCCAAAGGAAAATCAGGAAGAAGAAAAGACCATAGCGTGATACCGCAGTAAATTTCTCCTCAAATTAATCTCTCCAGACCACTCACATTCTTTTGGGGATATAGCCCACTTTTTATTCAAAACAACAGCGATTCTCTTCAGAAATGGTCCACATTTTCATGTACACCGATCATTTCCGGTGAGTGGAGCGCACGCCGAGCGGTGCGTTCCAAGGGGCCATCTTAGCCTAAGTAGAAGAGTCTGTAGCTGAGGTCTGCCATC